TTGCTCCTCAAGCATGGCAGTACGCTTTCACTTTAGGGCTTTCTCGCTTGCTGCCTCATCTGAATGATTTTCCACCAAGTCTACTTTGTTCTCTTACTTTGTTTAGGTCTTAACTTCCTTCCCTGCCTAGAGACCCAGCAACTCCCTAAATTCTCTATACCTTTTCTCTGTCTTAATTTTCCCCTAGAACTTTCCTCTTTCTAATATTCTACATATTTAGCCATGCTTTTTGTTTATTGTCTGTCTCTCCCACAAGGAAAAATTAAATGCTCCAGGAATGCATGGATTTTTTTTTAAATCACTTTACCTCCATGCTTGGAACAGTACTTGGCATATAGTAGGCACTCAATAAATATTAGGTGCATCAGTAGCCTGGGGGAGGAGATGTGTAATCAAATTACATATGGCCCCTGGATCATATTAACTAAAGTGTATTTGACCAAGATGTTTTGCTTGGGTAAGAAGTAATTTAAAGAAGAAATTGTCACCCCTCTTTCTCTAACATAAGATGTTATGTTTAATTAATCTTCTCTTTCAGGATAAGCCAGACCGTGTGTTACAGGACAGCTTCTAGTTTGATTATTTGCTACAAATGTAGTTGTAACCTGAGCTTTAAATAATTGAGTGCTTGAAATTAAACAGGTTAATAAAAGTTCATATCTACTTTTAGCAAATTTTCTCCCATCATGTTTGTGCTTTATGGCTCTTTATTGTGATTTTATTTTAGGTGCCCTAGGCTAGAAGGTGCTTGTATTCGCAGCCCCTGCCAACATGGTGGCACATGTATGGATTACTGGTCATGGCAGCAGTGTCATTGCAAAGAAGGACTGACTGGGAAATACTGTGAAAAATGTATGTAAGCTGTTCCATCTCCCACTGGAAATTATAACAATATATGCATCTAAATATATAATTGAATTTTAAAAATATGTTTTTATTCTAAATATTGAGAATATTAAATGGGAAATCATTGGTAAAATACAGTGACACTTTTACATTAATTTTTAACCTGACGAAGAGTGATATCCTTTTATTTACTTATTTATTTATTTTTTANACATTAATTTTTAACCTGACGAAGAGTGATATCCTTTTATTTACTTATTTATTTATTTTTTAAACTTCCAGTTAATTTTTTTATTGGTTATGAATATTCATAAGATGCAAAGCTGATTGTCACCCCTCATGCCCATGATGTGAGGGCCAGATTCATACTGGCAGCATACCTACTACCACAAATTGCATTTGTACCCCTTATCCCCCACCCAATTATCCCCAACTTCCCTCTCCCTTCCCCCCCACTCCACTTTGTAGCCCAAGGAATGTTCTCACCCTGTGCAAGACAAACCTACTACTGTGGTCTTTCTTTCCTTCCTTCTTTCTCTCTTAGCTCCCATAGATGAGTGAATACATGTGGCATTTATCCCTCTGTGCTTTTAAAAAACGATTTACTAACTAGATTTTTAGTTTCCATTTATAAATATATTATTTGGTGATTTTTATTTTATAGGACTGATAGGCAATTTAAAAGGTCAGAGACTATATTCAGGCTTTGGTTTAATATTACCTGTCTTTTGAAGATGTTTCTCTAGTGAACTTTTTGTATTTGGTAGAAAAATACACACACTAAGTCACTGAGCACTGAGCTCAAAACATCATACCATGGCAATATGATAAAAAATTAAAACTAAAATTAACTCTAGTGCTTTTATTTTAATTTGTAATTATTGGAATTGGTTTTGAATATTACTTTTTAAGTTCTTTCGTTAGTTAGTTGTCTTTTAAGTCCTGACATTATTGTTCATCAGATATTAATGATGTTCAAGCTATTATTAGAAAAAAGTGCTTAATTTCAAGCTATATATCATATTATCTAACCCTAATAGGGCCACTTTTATAAAAAATTTGTTTTGTTTTCAAATAAGTAGTTACTACTTAAAGCAATCTGATTTAAGTGATTCAAGTGATCATATTGATTTAAGTAGTAACTACTTATTTGAAAACAAAACAATTTGTTTGATTTGATTATAATATACGAATGTATAGAAATGCATAATAAAATTAGGACATAATATAACCCCAAAGTTTTTAGTAGCAGAAAGTGCAATCGTGTTTATTTCAGACATAATGAAAATATAGAAAAAGTATGTTGTCACATGATATTTTTTAAAGTAATGAGTATTTATTAAGTACGAACCTAATTATATTTAAAATATATAATAAGTCATTGGCTTAAAAGATGCCTGAGACAGTT